CTTTTGGAATTAGAACCTGTGGCCTTTGTTTAGCTGTTTAGTGATGTAAAGCATATTTCTTCAAACAACGAGAACTAAAATTGCGCAGGGACATATTCTAGATTTCAGTGTCATCCAAATGCATTTTCGTTAGTTAAAGGTACCTCTTCAATTTACAAATGTGTTGGACATCCTCTCCTTCAGTGGACTTCTAAACCTTGAAGGTTTCTGGATTAACAAAGTGTTACAAGCTGGGATTCAAACGCATGCCTTCTAAGAAATTGTCGAAAGCTAAATTTCTTGTTGCTTAGATGTATTTTATTTAGATCATAAAAGACTCCAGATGTGGCACCCTGCCTTGATGTGGTTTGCATAAATGAAGTCCTAGCCAGCACTGACTTGTTAACGACATGAGGGAACCTGCTCGGCAAAGGTAAGTACAAGAATAGAGAAAAAGCTAAGGTCATCTTTCAGCACGTATTTTGTAATAAAAATTGGCTGAAAAGAAATTGGGCTGAGATTGAAACTTTGCGTCGAAAATTCTTAAATTTTGAATCGAATTAACTGAACTTAGCATGTATGGACACTGAAAAAATCTAGGAGCAGAAAGGGGGGTAGCTCCACCTTTATTCTGTTAAAACTTTCAGTGAATTTGCTTGTGGTCTTGTTACTTTTTTTCCAGAAACATGTAGGTACTTATCTGGTGAGACAACGTCATGAGTAGAGGAGGACTGAGAATGACTGACACCTAGCGCCTATTACATCGATTATGATGATTAATTATCTTATTGATGGGGATGATGACCTGATGACCTGATGTACCTGACCTTTTCAGGTGAAACGTACATTGGCACTTAACTAGAAATGTGTGTATCACAGACCTCAAGAGGCTCGGGGAAGGGTAGAGTATAATTGTCCGGCTCAAAATGACCTTATAATAATATAACCGCAGCAAAGGCAATGGGTCTTGAGTTTTGCCGATAGTTCGAATGGTCTTGGCGTTCTTCTCGGAGAATTTTTAAAAGGTCAGTGGGGATAAAACTGAAAATAATGACATGATGGACTCATTTGAAGCACAAAAAAAAGAAAATGGCAAAAAAGGAAAAATATGAAGAAAAATGGAACAAAAAAAATGAACTTAAAATAAGAAATAAATAAAAAAGAAAATAAATTTAAAAAATAGTACAATAACAATACTCAATAAGCCAAAATAAAAAAAATAAATTGAAAATAAAGTTAAAAAATAAGAGAATACGAAAAACGATAGTAATGATTACGATAATGATAGTAATAAGAGAAAAGGAAAAAATTGCAACAAAAGAGACTTGATTGATTTTTTGAAAACGAAACTGCAGGGACTTCAAGGCAGTCAGTCGTTTCAAAAATCAGGCAAGAAGAATTCTTTTATTTTTAAAGTCTTTTTAGTTGCCACTTTTTGTGATTTTCCTTTCCTATTACTGTCATTATAATCATCATCATTATTATTATTATTATTATCATTATTATTAATGTTATCATTTTAAGTTCCTTTTTGTTACATTCTTCAGATGTTTTACTTTTTTTGTCTTTACTCTTTTGTGCATAAGTCATCATTTTTAGGTTTTATCCTTGTAATAAGTTTGAAACTGTTGTATCAAATTTTCAACCGAGTCGATTTCCAAGTAAATAAGGAACAAGGACGGCCTTACCATCCGAATTATCTGCCAACGCCAAGTCCTTTTTGTCTTCATTTTTTTTCCCTTAATAAGTTAAGTATATGCTTTAATCCAATGAATGATGAACAAATGAGGGAAAACTTATTTTAAAAAACTTTGATAATAAGTTCAGTTGAGCATGTGGTCTTGCTTTCTTGAGAGATGTAGGAACAGTGAACCTTGACGAGCTGGGCAACCTGATAACGCATCGTGAAGTAAAGAAGCTAGACGTAGATTACAGAAACCTGTTACATGGATAATGATGATGATGACGATGATGATGACAATGATGCTGACGATTGTGCTCGCGATGATAACGACTATGATGTTGAAATTGATGACAATGCTGAAGGCGATGCTGACGATGACGACGACGACGACGATGCTGATGATGTTGATAAGGAATATGACTTCGCTGATGATGATGATGATGACCACGATCATTCTGACGATGATGACGACGAAAAAAGATGATGACGATATAGACGACGATGATGAATATAACAACGATGCGAAAAATGATGATGATGATGATGATGATGAGATGATGATGATGATGATGATGATGATGACGTTTTTAAGAAACTCGGAAGCTCAGTAATTGGCCATGGCGACGTTGAAATTGGTGAGTACAGAACAGTAATTTTTCTTCTCGCACTCGAATATCAACGAGGGAGGCGCATGGAACATCCCTTCCCGGCATACTGTAGTAGTCTGTCTCCCGCAGCCGTTCCATGACCGACCAAGACAAGAGAGGAGACTGGGAACGAGCCATCTTTGATAGAGTAATACTAACCTGAGATCAGGCCCAATTTTAGCGGTTCTCATACATTCTCTCTAACGGCTACCGCCATGCCCGCTGGAATGTAATTTTCAAAGCGAAACGAAAATAGAGCCTGATCTCAGGTTAGAGTAATGCAAAGAGCTCAAACCTGCAACGGCAGGACTGAGGGAAATCAACATGTAAGCTTTGATAATGTGTCCATTTAAACTAGAGGTCTTGACTCGTAGCAGTCGTCAGCTTTCCCGGTTAAATTAAAGTTGTAAATTGTAAAAGAAGAATAAAAAACGTGGTTCTAGCTGGACTAAGACACCTTGGAATTCAAAACTCCATTAAATGGACTTTGCTTACATTGATTTTAAAGACTGTGAAAAAGAGATTAGAATTGGAAGTAGGCATTGATTGCACTTACCTCTATGATAAAATTAAGGCTATATGTTGTAAAATACACGACGAAAATATTCCGAAGATAGCAAAATAAACCGGGCAGATCCCTTAATTAAAAATAAAACAATAAATTGTGTCTTCTTTTTTCGACCCAACAGCTTCCCTGAAGAGATTGCTAGTGGGGTGTCCAGTGTTGGAGAATGAGTGCGAATGTACACTTCTCAACTATTCTTTGTGGGGCACGAGAGACCAAGCAAGATCAACTTTAACCCACGATAGATCGAGATAGACTTTATAATATTATATTAAGGCTCAACTTTAATCAGACTGCGTGCTTTACCGCTCAAAGCTTGCTTTGTCCAGCAAACATTAGTGAAGAAAAAACGCATTCCACTTCTTTAGGGCTTAGTTAAATTCGACAACTTGTTTATCTCGTAAGAGTCTTATGATATATTTAAGTTCCTAAACAAGCCGTTTCTAAACAGGAATGAACTTGGGCCCCAAGTTCTGAAGACTTCTAGCTAGAAGTGGTAATGTTTTCTCGGGCGATGAATCGATGATAATGGCGGTTTAAGAGTGAGTCTATGGGTGCATTGGGGAGGTGACTGTGCTACGTGAAATCTCTCTGATTTCAATGAAACTTAACAAGTTTAAGGGTCTACCCAGAAATCAAGCAATGATGATGTGAGCCATGATGTAAAGGAAGAAAGATTACAAATTGAAGATTTCTTTTGCGTGCAGTTGTAATGTTGAACTTAACAATTCGGCTGCGAAAATTAGAGCGTGACTTGGAACTTCTGAAATCTTCTTAACTAATGCCTCAAACGCTGATTTTATAGCTTAACATGTAACATAAACCGCAATAACTTTCTAATGCATGAAGATTTTTCAGAGGTTTCTGAGAAGCGTTTGTTGCCTGGATCTGTCGGAATCAACTGCAAAAAGGAAATAAAGCTTAAGCGTCTATCCGGCTTAGTGAAAGGCAGGGAATCATATATAGCTTTCAACCCTTTACATTGGTTCAATTTAAACCTATTGCGAGCGAAAAGGGCTTTGATATCATTGCTCAAGCACTTTGAAACAGCGACAGATACTTTAAGTCGCGCTATTCTAACTTAACTATAACTTAAGTTCATTTTGTTTTCTTGTATTTATATACAGTAGCAGGCCTTAAAACCCCAAAGGCAGCACCATAGCACTGGTCGGGGGTACACGGTCCCCATTTTTGCCAAACTTGGTTTTTCGGGGTTTACGTGTCCGGCTGTGGTGTACTTATATTTTAATATACATTTATTTAAGCATTTCCTATTAATAAAGTATACTCGTATTTGTTGAGAATTGAAATGCGTGTTTGTTTCTTGGTTGTCTTCCTATAAAGTTCACTTCCAATGGTAAGCTTCCCCTCCACCTCCCCCTCCAATTATAGGCCCATCCTCCAGTAAGTAAAAAGATACATCCAGTTTTTGGCCTCCTCGGATATATGTCCCTTCGTTTCGTAAGCAACGTTAAATTTGTTATCTAGATTTGGTCACGTTTCCGCTGTCTACCTCGTCCTAAACACCTGTAAAGGCCCTGTGTCTGTCACGTGATGGACGATCAAGTGACCGACAAGCTTGACTGATTGCTCTCACTCCCTTTGTTTTATTTGATGCAAGAGCTGTGATAATTTCACGTTTACGGTGACCACAAATTGACTAAAATCATGCAGCCACGTAGAACAACACTATACACACAACTTGCCATCAGGAAATGATAACAAGTTCATTTGCCTCCAAAATATTATCGTATATTAAACAAAAACGCAGGGCAGAAGAGGGTGACACCTTAGCTTGTTGCGTCTTTCGCCAACTTTGCAGCAAAATAAAGCACTGCTCGCAGGTCCGCCAACGCAATTAATTTTTAACAGCCCTATAAAAGAATGAGAAGTTTTAATTTCTCCATGAGTGAGGACAAAAGCTATTTAATGATTAGACCCTTAGAAACGAGAACGATTAGCTTAATTGGTTTAACAGAATCTGACTGGCATACTAACTTCGAGTCTATAAAAAGTATTGGGAAAATCGTGGGAAAACAAGCCTTTCTTTACAACTTGAATTCCTGATAACGTCGTTTCTTTCTCACAAATGGACAACTAAATTTGCAGTTTTTTACTTTAAAATCTTCACTATTTCGTATTTTGTGGCGGCTTAAGTTCTTTCTAGGATAGCATCATCAACTCATTTCTCCACTTCTTCCTTCGATCCGGGGTCGTAACTTCAGGCAAGTTGGGGGGCCTAATTCAGGCCTAGTTCAGGGCCGCCTCAGGGGCTCATACTGAGTCCCATGACCATCTTGTTCCTCATTAATCCCTGTCGAAGCACCTTCTGATAAACCTGTAGACTGGTGCACCGGTGACTGGTACACAGGTGTCCCAGGGTTCTTTTTGTTGAGGGTGTGGTACACAGGGCAGTTCTCATAGCTACCTTCAGCCCTGTTGTATGTTGCTGCCAAGTTACTTTGCCCTAGAAAAGAGACAAGCTTATTCAGTACCAGAAGGGCGAATCCACGCCAGTGACAGAGCTGAATCAGCTAACGAACATAACTTGTGAAATTTCAGTTGTGGTGCAAATGGTGAAATGCTCTTCTGCAAAAACTAAGAGTGACGCCTCCATCAAAAATTCAGCGAAAGGACCATAAAACAAATGGGTTTCCATAAAAGCAACAACAGAGCACAATATTACAGTTCTTATTAACCAAACTAATAATAATTTTTTATGAATGCATGCGCAGTTGTTTATGTATATATTCGTATATTAATTTGCGCAACATCAAAATAAATTAAGTTAAAGGCACCCTCTTATCTGAGTAATGTAGTAGCTGCTCGGAAGAGAAGTCACCAATGGTGCCTAACCCTGACCTCAAACAAGACTAAACAATTGGAAGAATGACATGCTATTGTTTTCTGCGACCAATTAGGAGAGACCTAATGTGAGCAGCTCCTACGTACACTAATCTCTTATCTGTGTTGATGCCGTTTTAAAATTTGTAACAATTTAGTAGATGCAATTGCTAGTGGTATAACGATTCAGAATCGAATTCTCGATTAATCGCGATTATGACCGTTCGGTTCGATTCACGATTCTTTGCTTCCACGTTTCGATTCTGGTTCTATTTTTGCACACTTTTTCCAGGATGCCCTTAATGAGTTATTATATTGTTAAATCAGAATCCAGAACTCTTTAAAATGTGCGTTTTTGATTGACGAGCAAAGACGATAGCAGTTCGTGCGCCATTTTGTGTTGCCTGGTAAAAATGCTGTCCTTCAACCACCCATTTAGAATTTCCAAATAAGGCAAACCATGGCTACACTTAATTCCATCCGCCAAACTGACGTTGACACATTAATGATTCGTACACAAAGTAGGGTTAGGGTTAGGGTTAAGAAACATGTACATAATGGAAATTGAATCGAATCGCAAGGAATATGAATCGTTACACCCCTATATAGCAATTGCTGGTTTGCACGTAACGTCACGTTGACCATCTTGGTGGTCAAGAACAAAGGCGATTCTCTCCTCTGGAAACAAGAATCCATTTCCATGTAAA